TATGTAAGTTTCAAAGAGTAATTTTGAGAAAAACAAATTACCTTAGTGTATTGGGTTTTTTTAAGATCAGTCTCTTCCTCAGATGTATAAATACAAAGCTATGCAAGAAAGAAACAGTTGAGTCAAGTTTCCAGAAGGGAATAATGATGCTTACGATGAATTAAGAACCCGGTTACTTAATTCCAAAAGTCCTTGCTATTTAAGTGGTGTCTAAATATATGCACACAAGCTGAGCTTTCAAATAAACTTTTTGTTTTGCAGTCATGCATTTTATATGCCTATACAGTAAGGACAGGAATCTGTCCTGTATTTAAAAGCTGCAGACTATTGAATTTATGCTACAGAATGCATGATATGACAGGTCCTCAGAAGGGAAGTGCAGTGATCTGCTGCTGTCTTAGCAGTGGGCACATCCTGCCTGCTCAAAACTGTCATTTCATAGCTGTGCTTAAATTGCTCAAAACACTTGTTTTCAGCATACAGGGCATCATCCCTAGGCTATGGATGATAATTTATTGTATTTATGCTACCTTTAGTGGAGAGTGAACAGAAGAAGTGCAAATTGCATGTATCAGTTACTTTTTAGTACCTATTTATGTGTACAGGTCCATCTTTGCTGTGGGGACCACTCTCTTGGAAGCACTGCAATACCCCTGTCTGGGCTACTGAAGAAAGGAAATGTGGAGATTGATCAACACCCTGTGGCAATAGAAGGAACGTTTGTCCTTGTTCCACCAAATAGAACTAAACAGAAACTGTCACAATTACCTTTGGATCTGGCTCCTACCCTTGGGGTATCTGTAACTCTCGAAAGGGAGAGGTTGACCACCCAGGTATACCTTACCCATTTTTTTTTTTTTTTGGCTTAGACACTGTTGCACAGTTACATGTGGAAAAAATAATTGGTATTTCTAAGTCATATTTGAAAGCTGATTACATAAAAGAAAACCTGAAAGAATTGGTTGTTTTATATGAATAATCCTATCATTGCCTTATTTTTCTAGGTCTGAAAAATAATCTCAAACTATGAAAGTGTTATGAACAGACTTTTAAGTGCAAGCCTTTATCAATAATAAAATTATGTCACTTCATTTAGCCTTTGATTCCCTTTAATGCTCTGACTGAATCTGAACAGCCGCAGGAGAAAGTTCTTTCACCCGTTAATGGGAAAACGGAGAGCCTGCAGGAGAGATCCCAGAATGTCCCATCTCAAGCTGACCACCACTCTTCAACAGACGATGTAGCAACAGAAAGTGAAGTGGAAAGCCTTAAGCCTGAAAAAGGCAGAAAAATAAGGGAAAATGGTACGTGGTGTATAATTTTTCTACAGTTCTCAAGTATGGTTTTGGATCATGTATTACTCATTTGTCATGATAAATTGCAGGGAAGTAAGAATTATTTATATAAAACAAATAATAAGAGGGGGATAAATGTGATTTAAACATGATGGTTGTTGAGAACATTTGAAATAGCCAGATTAAGGATTGATGGTGTGTAGATATCAAGTGATGTAAGTGGTCATCAGTTTGAAAATGATAGCAGAAATGTTTGTAATTTCCTGAATTTGTGAATGAGAAGGTTCAGTGCAGTGCCCATGAAGAAAATTACTTGCTCAATGAGGAGATGAAATGGTTTAATTTTCACATTTATTAAATAGAAAGGCAGGGGTAATGTGGGATTTTTAAGATTTCTAAGGAATTTCCTATGTGGATAATAACTTGTGAAGACAAACGTTCATTTTGTACAGATCGCTGGATAAAACCAAACCACTGGGGTTTTCGGTTACTTTTTACAATATCTTTTTGTTTGGACTTGGCAGCCCAAATAGCCTTTTAAGACTTGTTTTTGATTTGAGGACTGGACTGGAGAGAAGTGAAAGAGAAACAGAGATGATGGAAGAAGAAATAATAGAATAAAGCTCAAAAGAAAATTGTATTTGCTAGACATGACTGAACACAAATCTTCTTAGATGATTTGTGAATAAAGCAGAACTATTATTTTTCTGATGATATTTCTATTGCTGTTCTTTTGAGATTGGTCCTAGAGACACCCAGTTCTGTAGAGGAAAATCTTATGTCCTAGAACATGCTCTCCGGATTTGTCAGCTAGTTCAGCCAAGTTTTCTTTTAATCCTAACTGATCTTATCTAAGCAGGGATTAAGTCCTTTATATGGAATGTAACAAATTATTGTGAACCCAACAGCTGGTTTGAATCTCTGGTTGAGAAATCCAGGGTGATGCTTTTTTATTAATAGTAATAGTAATTTTATCACTGTTTTGTTAAAATGTAAAACATGTCATTTCACATTTATCTTTCAGGGCTGGTGGCCGACTCCTGCCAAGAGGTTAACAAACAATGTACTGAAGAGCTTCCAGCTTTCAAATCACAGAGCAGAGCGACATCACATCTGTTATTAGATCTGCAAAATCCCAGTAATGCGAAATTTATCAAATTTAGTACATTAAATGAGATTAGAGTGTAGTAACAACTTAAATGAATTTTAACAGTAGGCTGTATGCATTTGTTTTCATGTCTGTGATGGTCTTTAAATTTAATTCAGCCACTACTTGTCACAAAGCAATCTAGGACATTTTACCTGAATCACTTAACACAGGACTGAAATCCTCAAACATCGGCTAGTTGAAATTATCATAGGATTTATTTTTTTCATATTATTGTTAATGCAAATAAAACACTCAAACAAGCAGGAAAAATTGAAGTTCAGTGTGAGCAGTGACGTATTTATCTTAAAATGGCAAAAATTGAAACATTTTAAATAATTACACGGAAGGAGGATAGAACAAGTAGCACTTAGGGCAGTTGAGTACTTATCTGACAGTTTGTTTCCTTCTTTGCTTTTTGTAGGGACTTGGTAGAGCAAGTCTTAAAGACTTAACCCTAAGACTTAAAATGTCTAACGTTTTTGGAGGGTACCTTTTGGAAATCATGTCTGCAAGCCTTGTAGTTTGATGGTTTATGCTTTGAAGTCAGTATTGGGTCCTAGTGTAAGGACATAAGGAGCCTGGATGCAGTTGGACAGACACTCACTGTAGCTTCTGTTTCCTTTATTATAAAATGGATGTCACAGTAGGTGGGTTCGGTGGCATAAGCAGATGTGCTTTGGAGATGTAGCTGGAGCACTTTAGTTTGCTTCAATAGCTAAACCTTGACTTGGCACCGATAGTTGATACTGCCTTACATGAGCACTATAATTGACCTAGTGCTCTGTCTTTCAGTCTCAAACTAAAAAGGTTAGTTAATTCAAAGCAACTCTCAATCTTTTTTTTTTTTTTTCCCTTATGCATGCCCTCAGGTTGGGTAGGAACAATTAATGTGCACTGTTACTCTTACAGCACCCTTCTGAAGAATTTAGTGTCATGGATCTTAGTCTAAACTTACTTTTTAGTGAGATAAACTTACACAGCTTTGAAGATTAATAAGAAAAGGAAAATATTAAAATCTTTTAAGAAGATTTAAAGTGTATTAGGTTTTGGTGTTTTTTCCTTTGGAAGTAGTAACTTACAAAAAATTGGCTGTTTTTCACAGTATAAATTTATATTACAGGGAATTAAAATCTCTTGGAGAAACAGCCTATCTACTTGCATTTAAAATGTGAGACTTTTATGTACTTGGTTATTTTAGGCACAACAAATTATAAAAAATGCACATTAATTTTCTTTTGTTTTCAGCTGGTAATGGTCCAGTAGCAGCGTACCAGTCCAACCCTGTGGGAGCATCCAGTTCCTCTGAACCTGTGTCAGCACAGAAAATTGTCATCCCAGCAGCCTCTCACCATTTTTGTTTTTCAATAGACTTAAGAAGTATACGTGGTCTGGAAGTTGGTTTTCCAATAAACTGCATTTTAAGGTACAGGTGTTTTTGTTTTTTGGGGTTTTTTTTGCCATTCTTGGTAATAACAGTATCTTTCTCTTCAATACAAAGCCTTCATAATCTGAATGATTGCTGGCAGTATGTTTCTTTTATGCCATTTATGTAGCTGATTTTTAATAATAAAATACTTTGGTATGTTCATCTGGCTAAACTGATCATTAAAGATGGTGTGTAAAACTTCACCTTTGCTGCAATGTGTATTAAATCTCACTTCAATGTCTGAGCTCAGACAATAAAGTATATCATTCAGTATTTAAGGGAAAAGGAAGATTACTTGTCTCACTACTTTCTGGTTTCACTTCCAGCTGATCAAATAAGTGATTTTACTTGGGTTTTTTTTTTTTGGTAGTTTTCCGTGTCTCCACCAAGACCTCTTAGTAAGAGGCAGACCACTGGTTTGTTTGTGAGGGTGAAACTAAAGGAAGCACATTCTAGTTTTAATGTGAAGAACCAGGGTAGTACATGGATTATCGTTCTGAGAGGCCGGTAGATACAGAGGTGATGGTTTAAAAATGCACAAAAAATGTGTGGGATATTCATTATTGATGGTATATTTGAATTCAGTGGTTCATAACAGTTTTTACAATTTGCTGCCTTGTTGCCATTAGGGCCCTTTTGGTGCACATGATGAAGTATATCTTTAAACGATGATTCAGTTTGAGTGTGTTGGATATTTTTGGCTAGGAAGGTGCCTCTGTGTTTGCTTTGCCATTATTGTGACAGTTTGATTCAATAGTTTTAACTGGTCGCAGAACTCTAGTTGTGGTAGTGTTTCTTGGAGTTTGTTTTGTTTGAACTAGGGTGAAAAGGTGGAGGTAAGATGTAGGAATGGAATATTTGAAAATGCACCTAGTATAGAGTATATCATTAATGACTTCCTGTGTAGGCGACATTATTAAATAGTGTGTAGAAAGAAACATACAATGGTTAAAATTTTGTCCAAGCTTTTTCTTGTAACAAATAGGTTTGACTGTTTCATGCACTTCAGTTTTAACAGTCAGTGATGAATATGGCAAGAAACTGAAGAGGAGAAATGTGGCACATAAGTATTTACTAGCAACTTAACTGTCAGCTGGCATCATCAATTTGAACAAAGTGGAGTTAGAGAGGTTTTTGCCACCCATTTATTGTAGTTTATCATGCACTGAATTGTGCCAGTAGTTTCAGGCCCCATTGTAAATCATATTGGTGAAATTATTTTATCTTCCTTTTAGTCAATTAAACTGGGAATTAAAAGCTAATGAAATTTTCAAATAGTTCTGACACTGTGTATATGTATAGTTCGTTATCGGTTACTGAGTGTTAGACCAGCCTTAACTGTAAATATAGTTGTAAATGTTCTCAAGTAGCAATCTACATCTGAATATGTTTTTCTATTTCTCTCCTTACGTTATACAATAATGCAGAATTTTAATAAAATATAAATTCATCTGGGTATGAACATAGACATTATTAAAGCTTCTTTTGTCAAAAAAGCTAAAACTTGATTTGGCCATTACAGTCATCAGACAACAAAAAGAAGTTTTTAATAATACATAGAGAGCAAAAGGGAGGGTCAAGGAGGTGCCTCTTAGTTGCTAAATGCAGAAAGTAGTGGAGTGACAGGGGGTGAGGAAAAGGCAGAGGTACTCAATACCTTTTTTGCCTCTGTCTTTAGTGTTAAAACTGGTTGTCCTCAGGATGCCCAACTCCTAGAGCTAGAAATTGGTGATGAAGAGATGAGTGAAGCCCCCATAATCCAGGAGGAGATAGTTATTAACCTGCTATACCAACTGGGTGCTCACAAGTCCATGGGCCCTGATGACATCCACCCCAGAGTAATGATGAAACTGTCAAAAAACTTGCTAAACCACTTACAGTCATCTACCAGCAGTCCAGGATAACTGGAGAAGTCTGGCTGAGTAGAAATGAGAAAAAGTAACACCCGTCTATAAGAAGGGTCGGAAGGATGATCCAGGGAACTACAGGCTTGTCAGCGTAACCTCAGTTCTGGGCAGGGTCATGGAGGAGGTTATCCTGAGTGCCATCATATGACACGCGCAGAACAACCAGGGGATCAAGCCTAACCAACATGGATTTATGAAAGGTCCTATTGACCAGCATGATCTCCTTCTATGACAAAGTGACCTGCTTAGTGGATGAAAGGAAGGCTGCAGATGTGGTCTGTCTGGACTTCAGCAAGGCATTTGGCATAGAAAGACACAAAATCTGGCTACTTGTGGCATGGATGGGTGGACTCTGATAGGTAAAAAATTGGCTGTGTGGCTGGCCCAGAGACTTGTGGTGAATGGAGTTAAATTCTATTGGAAGCTGGTCACTAGTGAAGTTCCCCAGGGATCCATGATTGGGCTGGTCCTGTTCAAGATCTTTATTGAGGATCTGGATGTGGAGATTGAGTGCACTCTCAGTAAATTTAAAGATGACACTACAGTTGGGTGGGAGTGTTGATCTGCCTGAGAGCAGAAAAGCTCTACAGAGAGACCTGGACTGACTTGTGTCTCCAGTAGGACTAGGGAAGTGATCATTTCCCTGTGCTTGGCATAGATGAGTACTGTGTTCAGTTGTCCGCCCCTCACTTTAAAAAGGACATTGAGGTGCTGGAGAGACTCCTGCAAAGGGCAACAAGGCTCATAAGAGGTCTAGAACACGTGTCGTATGAGGAACAGCTGAGGGAATTGGATTTGTTTAGACTTGAGAAGAGACAGCTCAGAGGGTGACCTTATCGCTCACTGCAACTACCTCAAAGGAGGTTGTAGAGAGGTGGGGGATGTTCTCTTCTGCCATGCCTGCAGTGAGAGGACTAGAGGGGAATAGCCATAAACTGAGACAAGGGAGATTCAGATTAGATGTTAGAAAAAAAAATTTCTCTGTTAAGGTGGTCAGGCACTGGATTAAACTGCCCGGGGAGATGGTGAAGTCGCCATCCTTGGAGGTGTCTAAGAAGCATCTGGATCTGTGGCTGGAAGATAGGGTTTAGGAGTTACAGCGAAGTGACATTGTTAACAGTTGGAATTGATGATCTTAAAGGTCTCTTCCAACCCTGATGATTATGTTTCAATAACAGTGAATGTAAAGGAAGCTGGATCAGTACCAAAGTAAATGAAAACATGAATTCTCAAGAACTAATTTCTGTTGTTGAATGTACTTGTACAAATGCTGTGAACTTTAATATAAGATGTGCTTCATTAGATTATGCCTAAACTAGTTTTCTTGTTGCAGAAGGTGTAAGAAAAAGTACCTATTTATATAATTATTATTTTTGTTGTTTTTATTAGGTACTGCTATCCTTTTTTTGGTAGTGCAGCACCCATTATGACAAACCCACCTGTAGAAGTCAGAAAGAACATGGAAGTCTTTCTTCCACAGTCATATTGTGCATTTGATTTTGCAACTGTACCTCATCAGCTTCAAGATACATTCTTCAGGTAGTAACTTGAAATTTTTTATCCTAATTGCACTTTTCTAGTTTTTGTTGTAAATACAGTCACAACTATTTCATTTAAGATCATCAGTTTGAGAATTTTGTTAAGAATTCAAGTGCTAATGCCAATGAATATTTAACACACTGCACTTCCAGTTTTTCTTGTTTAATATTTAAAGTAAAAAACTCTACAGTTCTTCATTTCAGCTCTTGTGTGCTTATGCAGGGCTTGTTGCTTACAGAATGAAGTGCTGTTTCTGTAAATTGTTAAAGTAAAGCTTGATAGCATAATTTTTAAGGTATTATGTCAAATGAAACATAATTTTTATTTTTTTTTTTATGCACAATGACTATGTGCTATCTTTGAAAGTGCAGCAGGTACTTGGAAAGCTGAGCACAGTGTTGAGGGCTGCAAAACACTTCTCCTAGTAGTTCTACCAGCTTTCCATAACTGATTAAGATGTGAAATAAAGAATCATCAAAATTGTGGTATTTTGAAAGGAGAAGTGGAGGGAGATTTATTTTATGAGTGACAGTGGCTAAAATTTATAAGTGTAAATGAAGATGATCAAGGTCTGTTAGCATTATTCAGTCAGTTGCTTTCGCTGTAGCATTGTTCTTTGTTAATAATTTGTGAAAGGAATTATAACCTGGCCAAACCAGTTGATGGAGAAGATACAAAGTCAGTCTCATTCCTCTGGTTGAAAGGCCATAAACACATCTCATTATTTGACAATTGTAATCATCAGTGATTTTGGAAGTTACTTTTAGAACATGAGGTTCTTTGCCAAAATAAATAGGAATGCTTCCTCTTTTGTGTTGGTGCCTGAAACTAAGATAACTTGTTTGTTTCAGATTACCTCTGCTGGTTGAATTGTGGCACAAGGATAGAACAGCCAAAGACTTACTTCTAGGGATGGCGAGACTTCAGCTTTCAAACGTTTTGGCTTCAGAAAAAACTCGCTTCCTGGGTGGGAATGGTGAACAATGCTGGCGTCAGACTTGTAATGAAACAGTCAATATCTCAGCAGCACAAGGGTAAAACTATTTTTAAAAATACTTAACTCTGTAGCAAATCTTGAAGAATTGTATATTTCATACTTCCCTGATACAGGGCAAGCTCTGCCTTCTTAGATTTTGAATAGGTAAACAGGCTGCAGAGTACTGCATTATGGAGGGGTGGGAATAGGCATCCAAGAGATTACACGTTAAATTGCCGCAGGTGGATTGTGCAACCCCCACACCATTACCAACCTTATTGTAGTAAACCGTTAGGTAATCATGATCCTGGATAAACTTCATAGACAGATTTAAGAAATAAATAATTTGAAAAAAGTTTACTGAGGCACTTCCTTGAGCAAGTTACTTCATTTCAAGAGGCACTGATATTCCAGAAAGTAATAAACGTTGGTTCTCCATAGCATGCGTTTAGATGCAGCTAATTTCAGTTAAAGTTTGGAGGACAGATATATCCATAGACTGGAGAGGTCTCCTGTTCCACAGTCATACTCTGTGATAGTAGCAGGGATTTGAGCTTGTGTACATCAGAAGGAGAATGTTGTGTCTGAAGAGAAATGTTCATTTACATAGAGCAATGATGGGGTTTTTTATGCATACGAAAAACTTAATTTTTAGTTAGTTCGGTCCTGTGTCCTTGTTGAAGATGAGTTGTGCTCACAATCACTGTCTAGACCCTCATATTTTTCTGTGTTATGACAGAACTTGATTATGCCTTTGGAGATAAATTTAATTCTATTAAGGTAGAGGTCAGTTTGAAGCCTCTAATGCAGTAGATAATTCAAGCATGCTATATTTGACTTAGGAAATTTCATGTTACTGATTGATATCCTCCGAGATTGATAGAAAATTGACCTCTGGGTTTGCTTAAACTTTTGTGTGAAAGCTGGCATGGCCTGAATCTGTGAAGCGTTACTTTAAGGTCTCGCTGTACATTGAAGTTCATACTTCGACCAACAGTGTGTGTTTAAAATGAAACCTGGTTTTGCAGAAAACGTAATAACCACTAGATGGCATTCTCAGGATGTAGTCGGGTCTGCTATTTGTTGTGCTGATGTTCACTTCCTGTCCTTGCTCCCGTTGGTGTAGCCTCCTCTTTACACTGATACGTTAAACAGAGCTAGTGGACCTCAGAAATCTAAGAAATTAACATGAATCTTGTTTTCTTTTTTAGTCAGTGAGTGATGGAAAGTTGTAAGGATTTAACGAAGTAATTTTTTTAACTTACATGAAGTACAAACGTTTGGGTTTTTCTTTCCCTTGCAAATAACTGTAGAAGACTACACCTTTGTAAAAAATATTTTAGTTTTGTCTATTTATATTTGCTGAAAGTGAATTTCTGTGAAAACTAAAGCTGTGCTTAAGTCCTGCAGTACTTAGTTGCTTGATACTTAATTCTGCAGCTTCCAGGCATCAAGTGAGTGTGTAATTGCCCTGCATCTGTAAATTGCTATCACTGAAATGATGGCTGTGGTTTTGAGCAAGGTATACACTGCAGTGTACTTCCTTGTCAGACCAGTGATAACTTTCAGTGATGTGATTTGTGCACCTTCCCTCTCTTAATATCTTTCTGTGCAGAAGGCTACCTTTGTTTGTTACATTTTGTCTATTATTAGAGGCGAGACAGTTGGGAACAAACTATTCTGTTTAAGCAGAAACCACAACTAATTTCGAATTAGTTTATTGAAATATGTTATCTAGGCATTTTTTTGCTGTACAAGAGCAGATCTACACTTAACCTGTAAGTGGATTTCAATTTGCCAGTTCTCTGTGCTGAAGCTTCCAGAAATGTGGATTCTTAGCAATCCAAGGATGGCTTACCACACATGATATGCTAAGTAACTTATATTGTGGATAATTAGAAAGTTACTGTTAACATCCTAAAAAGCATGTGCAACAATTATATTGTTAGAAAGACCTAAGACTGCAGGTATAATTTGGGCTCATTCTCTTGTTATGGGGTTGTGTTGATTATAGTAATCTGTTAGTTTAGTAGGTTCCAAACTGGTTATCTCTTTAAGTCAGAAAACTTGCTGCAGGTGAATGGACTAACCTTTGGCATAACAATATACACAAGAGTCCATATGTGGGCTCTAGCATAGGCAACTGTTAGGAGACTGCTAGACTCTAGCATAGGCAACTGTTTAGAGCTTACACAGAACTTTAAGGACTTCGGTTTTGCTGATTGTGTGTTGTCTTACAATTCACTTTCTGTATTTCTAGGCAGTCTTAATTAAAATAACATTCTAATGCTATTTATAGGTCAGGCAACAGAATAGCAGAGCTCTCATATGCCATCACTTTGGAAGACTACGGCCTTGTGAAAGTGCAAGAAGTTATGGTGTCAGATTCTTCTCAAGTAAATTTTGCATAAATCTTATCTTTATCCCTTGAATTTCTCTTTGGAAAGTTGTGTTTCCAGTGAAAAATCTGCTGTTGTTATATCAGGCTGTAGGTGCTGGTCAACAATGGCATGCTCCTCACGCTCAGCCTCGTTGTGCCCCAGAAAACCATCCAGAGCCTCGAGAAACTCTTGAATACAAAGCAGCACTGGAGTTAGAAATGTGGAAGGAAATGCAAGAGGACATTTTTGAAAATCAGGTTTCTACTTTTTCAGTTTATTACCCAAACTGCATGACTGCCAGAGAAGCCTTAGGAGAACTGCTGAGAGGAACATTAACTGTATTTTTCTTTGCCACTGTTTCAAATAAGGACTAAATTTTACTCATACAGTATATTAAAACTTCAGATGTACACTAGTCCATTCATAAATTCCATACTTTTAAGGAAGAAGGTTAATTCTTTTCTGTTAATTGACAAAGGTGCTAGATATTGAACTGCTGAATACCCCTTCACAATTTCCCATTAGTCTTTACAAAGTGCAGTAGATACACAAGATTCAAATAATCAGTGTTAAATTATGACACTATTTCTTCAGTCTCACCCAAAATCCATTGCTGTGTTTCTCCTTTTGAAATTATTCTAGGTGTTCTTAACCATGTGCTTGTTTGTAAAAGATACTGAGAATCTAGTGTCTATTTGTTAGGATATTTTTCTCAAACTCGTGTATACTTTGTAGGTTGTACTTCAGTATAAGAAATATCTTTCACTATCAGAATCATACCTTGAGCTATAGAAGCCGGTGTGCAAAACTCTTTTGCTTCCAGACTTAGTTCTGCTAGTACTCTAAAGCTGCACTTGCAACAATTTTGATTTGTTTTTCTGGTTTGGGGGGTTTGTTTCTGTTTTGGTCTTTTTTGCTTTTAAAAGCTTAAAAAGAAGGAAATGGTCCATATGGAAGCACTTGCAGAAGAATGGAAGAAAAGAGAGAGAGAGAGAGAGGCGTTAGTGAAGAAAAAGGTATGGAAACTCATCCTTATGCTTGCTGAAAGTCTTACTACAAATCTCATCACTCAAAACGTGACAAGGTATTTCATACCTCTGACATATAACAAAGGGTCTGTGATTAGCCTTTGCATCTACTGATATGCATACATCTAGTCTACAACAGTGCCAAAAAATAAAAGTAGTCCTTAATCATAAAATACCTGTTAGAAATCCCTTAGGTTAGCTTGCTTTTTTGGGGACTTGACTTTGTCAGTGTTTTATACTTTTGTTTGTTTGTTTAGGTGGCAGAATATAATATTTTGGAAGAAAAACTTCAGAAAACCCTGAGAGATCTAGACAAGCGAGAACGACAGCTTTTTAGTGCTGAATCGGAGGTAAAACCTGTTTGGTCATTTTAAGCAACACAATTTCATGAGCTGTTTCTATACGGTTTGAGTCTTCAGTTAGTGATAATTGTGAGCTGTGCATAAGATCTGAAATAGCCACATTCATATTGATACTTAGAGGAGCACTGATAAATTAAACCAAGTTTTGTTGCAACTGCACTTTTTTACTGAAATAGAAATACAGAGAACTTCTGAATGGGTTGCTTGGATTACAGAACTGTAACTCTTCTATTCTTGAAAGAATCAGAGCATCACTGCAGACACTGATGCAACATGAGCACATCTCAATTTTAATTATAGTTCAGCCAGGTGAATATTGTACATGTGCACAAGAGTACCTCACTTCAAAAAGTAACTATTTGATTAACCATTGAAATAGGAGAAGGTGACAAGGAGAGCTGGAAGAAACTGCAGTTGTACGGTTTTTGTTATCCAACAATATCATAGAGTTCTTTCTTTTTTAATAGTGACAGGTCCAAAGAGGATGCAGGAGAGACCAGTAACAACCACTTTCTAGATCTCACTGAGCACCCTTAATATGAGGAAATGGGGTGTGACTTTGGGAAAGCCAGTTGTATGAAAAGAGAAAAAATAAACTGTCTTTTCTTGTACTTAAGACCAAACTCAAAATTATGTAGGTCAACTGCTGTGGTGGTTTAGTAGTCCAGCAAACTTCCAGAGTAACTACTTTTACTCAGAGTGAAATGAACTTGGCCAAACTGAAGCACCAGGTTATTTTGCATAGATATTAAAGTCAGAACACAGTTTACAGCACAAAGTGCATCTGGAGGTGTACAGAGAGCCCGAGTTCTGAACAGGACACAGGCTCAACCAGCCAGTCCATGTGTTGGGAGCTCTCTTAACTTAGTTACAAACACAGAAAGGATTAATATGATAAAAAGGTTAATCTGACTTACAAGGAGGAAAGAGAAAGTTTGTCGTCCATTTCTCTCGAAACTTTCTCAAAATTTAGTGAGATTCTGACCTGAGAGTTTAGAGACGATAAAAATCAGTGGATTCCAAAAGCATCTAGACAAAATGGTGTAGGGTTCAGTTTGCAGTTATCTAGGCCAGTAACATCTTTCTAGAAAGTTCCAACATGTCAAGGATTGTTTTCCTGTTTAGCTTTATGAGAAATTCTCTCAATATGCTAAGTTCGAAGAGTATGGTTGTACTAACCTAAAGACGTGTTGTCTGTAGCTGTGACTTCACTGTCTCTGCAGTGAGTGGACATGCTTAGCTTTTCAGTTTGTAATAGAAAGGAGGATGTAAAACTTGCCTTTAGCAATCCTGTAGAATCATGTAGAATGTATAGTAGAGATACAGATAGCTCCATTTTTACAACAGTCAAGCAGGAGGGTATTTGTAGGCCAAATATAATGACTGGCTGATGATTAGTTAAGCTGAAGTACAACAAAAGCATATTTGGCAAACATAGATAACTGGAGTTTTTATTGTTTAATTTCTAAAATGGATAACAATTTTTCTGTCATGAATAGCAGAAACAGTTGTAAGGAACTTTTAAATGTAAAGCTCTTGCACTTATGGATTAATATAAATTGTCTCTTTTTCAGATTCAAAGAGTAAAGGAGGAGCTGCAGGCAGAACATGACCGAAATCTGCAGGTGCAGCAGGATTCTGTGAGACGAGCCAGAGAGGAATGTGCACACCAGCTTGAGCTAGAAAGGTCAAAAATCAAACAACTGGAAGAAGACAAGCTTCGCTTACAGCAGCAGGTACACTTTTGTTTCCGGCCTCAACTATTTACTTATTTACATGAGCATTTTTATAAGTATACTAAGTAGAGCAGTGGTTTGGAGGCAAGTGCCTTTTGGCAACTTTGTAATAAACATTTAATCTCTCTTGTTTCGTGAGCTATGTGCTGAGATTCATCCCTGTCAGTCTTGTTCAGTAGTAGGGCCAGTTTGCAGTGCAGCACTTAGAAACTTTTTTCCAACACTGCGAATCAAATTGCAACTAAAAGCACACATTATGCATAGAAGCTGAACAGCAGTATACATTTCAGTAAAAATAAATAGTTGGCAATGAACATCTAGAAAAACATCTAGTTAGTTTGACTGTGCATTAGTTTTATCCTTCCACTGTAAAAGAATATTTCTGTTCTTATTGGAGTGGAGGGGGATTTATCTTGTTATTGCAGTCTTCTATTTTGAAAGTAGTACTTTCTGAACTGAGAAAATTTATTCCACGTTCTGTTGTCCTGTAAGCTAGCTTTTGCACAAATAAGAAGGCTACTCTAGCTATTTTTTGTGATTATAAAAGTGTGCTGTAAAAGTTGGTACCTTTTTTCAGCTCTTACAGCATTAGACACTTAAAATAACAAATTAATTGTTGCGGTATAACCCCATCCAGAAACCAGTCCCAATGCAGCTGCTCTCTCAGTTCCCTGCCGGGGAGAGAATCAGAAGTGTAAAAGCT